AAGAAGAGGGCGTACAAGTTAGGATTATGCGCTCGATGCTTAAGAACGGGTCATCGATTTAAAGATTGTAAAATAGTTAAAATTTGCTATTACTGTAAGAAAGACCAGAACAGCGCTTTCTCTGAACGATTCGGCCATCAACAAACCTTCCCTAAACACCAAATGGTGACGCTACCAAAGACTTCCAAAAAAGAAGTTAGTACACAGGTTACAACAGTAGAGATTGAGAATATTTCAAGCAAAGATTTGTTAGAAGTAATATTGCCAGTTACTAAGGTAAAAGTAAGCAATTCATCAAATAAAGCAGTAAACGAGGAAGTCTATGCTTTGTTGGACAGTGGAAGTCAAAGATCGTTTGTCACGGATAGGTTGGCAATTAACTCAATATTCTACTTTTGGATAATGACAAATTGATTCTTTATACGTTCGCTGCACAGGAGTCAACACGTTATATTCTAGTTAAAGCCGAGTTAAATCTACATTTAACTGACGGAGTATTAAAGACATTACGATTGAGCGTTATGAAGAATATGACTACTAAGTTAAGTACGCGCGCAACAGATCATACTGAACTAACGTCTGCCGGTCAACCGGACATTTTAATTGCAGTTGATCATTACTGGGAGTTGATAAGTCTAGGATTAACAAAAACACGGTACAAATTCTACATGGTTCTAACCAAAATGTGTAAAGTAATCACGGGCAAGCAAACGATTGAGTCGAACGGAAATAATGTTATAAATAATGTAATTGCTTGTTATACACTAGCAGGTACAGTAACACAATTTTGGGGCCTAGAATCAATGGAAATCAAAGAAGCACCAAAGTCTAATGACGATGATGAAGCTTTGAAAGCAATTTTATTGAATCCTACAATACAAAGACGATCGTTATGTGGTAAGTTGGCCATATAAAAATTTGGATAAAGTTTTTTCAAATAAGTACCAGTTATGTTATTTTCGATTGAGGTGTGTGCTCAATCGATTAGAACGTGACAATCTTTTGGTTAAATATGATGATATAATACGAGGACAGTTATATGAAAGCATTATTGAGGAAGTTAAAGGTAATCAACAATGTTGTAAAGTTTTTTATCTCCCCCACCACCCAGTGGTGACTCTAGGTAAAGAGACTACTAAGCTTGAGATTGTTTACGATGTTTTTGCGAAATCCGGTACCAATACGCTAAGTTTGAATGAAAGCCTCTCTAGAGGACCAGTCATGTTACCTGAACTATGCGGCATATTGCTACGGTTCCAGACTTTCACATATCGCGTAATTGCAGATATTGAAAAGGCCTTTCTTTAAATAGAACTTCACGAAGAAGATAGGGATATAACAAGGTTTTTATGGTTAAAAAATATCTGTAATAAGTCGCGCCCAGAGAATCTTATAATTTATAGCTTTAAAAGAATTGCGTTTGGTATCATATCCAGTCTATTTCTGTTAACTGCTGTTATTACGTACCATCTAACAAGAGAAAATGAAAAATTGTTGCGGAAAGGAGATCAGAATGAAATAGATGTAATGAAAAGACTGGTTATTCAAGTTCATGTTGATAACTTGATTTCAGGTGTAAGTACCAGAGATGAAATAGAACAATTGTACAGAGTGGTCAAAGAAGTTTTTAAAGGGCATCTTTCAATATGAGGGCCTGGGCTTCAAATGCTCCAGACCTTCGTAAAATTATTTTAGATAACGATCTCAACAGTATACCATCCCAAAAGGTGTTGGGAATCACATGGCGTGCGGAGCTGGACAAACTAAAGCTCTCCTTTTATGAGGACCTAAGACCAAACGAACAGACAACAAAACGTAAGATTCTCTCTAGGTAAGCTCAAAATTATGACCCTTCAGGTTTACTGGCACCAGCCAATTTAAAGACAAAATCATTAGTCCAATCGTTGTGGAAAAGGTCATTTACTTGGGATGAAAATTTGCCAAGAGAAATCTAAGAGGAATGGCAACAAATACAACAATCTTGGAATCTTATGGTGAAGGTAGAAATGTCAAGAAAAGTAATAGATAGAAGTCAAGAAAGTGATTGGTAAATACATACCTTTGTAAATGCTTCTGAACAAGCCTATGCTGCAGTATTGTATCTAAGAAGTAAAACCAAATAAGGTTACCACACGGAACTCATATTTACCAAGAATTGACTAACAATAATAAAAGGAATTTCAATTCCTAGGTTGGGATTATTAGCCGTGTTAATTGGAATACGGGCTACACGACATTTCGAGAGCGAATTACAACTACCGATAGGACAAAAGATAATATGGACGGACTCGAAATGTGTTTTATACTGGTTAAAAACATCAAAAATCTTATCAGTTTTTGTTACCAATAGACTGATAGAAATGAACAAGCTAAAGCTATTAAGATTCGCTACATCTCATCAGAATAAAACATAGCAGACCTGGCGACCAGAGGTTGTACGTTGCAAGAGCTATTGCATAATTAACGATGGTGGAAAGATCCAAAGTGGTTAAATACATCGACAGTTCAATGGCCAAATGAGTTCCAATATGTGAAACCCGACAAGGATAACTGGCAGGAAGAATATCAAAATGAAGTTCTTCTGCATATTACCACACAAGCTTTCGGGATCAAGTTAAAGGATTATTTAAATTGGTTCAAGCTTTTAAGAGCGGTAGTTTGCATATTACGATTCTTAAAGGTAAAATTTTGGGTAAAATTATCGAATCCTTTAAGAGGGAAGTTTTCAGTGATATCTTTAATTTTTGACTATATAAGAGAAAGCAGCTTTATAAGCTCGAAGTAACAAAAGAGTGCGGAATTTCTACTGGTTAGAATGGAGCAACAACTTCTATTTAAGAAACAGTTCACTGCAATAACGAAAGGATTAAGAAAGAAACTCACGGACCAGTTAGGACTGTACCTAGACAACGGTATTATCCGACGTGCCGGTCCTTATAGGAATTTACTTCTACCGAGGATACTAAGTATCCTGTTCAAATAAGCCATCAAGGTCAATTAGCGCGTCTAATAATAAATGAAGCACATTTAACGACTATGCACATGAGACTCCAATCGACACTTACGGAAGTCAGACGTCGTTGGTGGACAACGAAAGGCAGGACAACAGTGCAGAAATACATCAGGCAATATACAATTTGCAGAAATTATCAGGGAAGACCATATGCGCTTTTAAGTATGCCGCCATTACCAGCATTTAGAAATAAATCATGCAGACCATTTGAAATAACTGGTTTGAATTACTTTGGCGCCATCCCTGTTAAACTCAAGGAAAACGAAAGAACAACGTTAAAACGGTGGGTTTGCATATTGAGATGTTTGATAACCCGCAATATTCATTTGGAAGTAGTCCACGATCTATAATATGACTGCCTCAAGTTTTTAAAACAGTTTTAGTAGGTTTATTGTGGTAAGAAGCCAGCTCAAAATAATTTATTCAGATAATGCAACACAGTTTAGGGCTGCCAATAAGTTTCTGGGTCAGTTCTGGAATAAATTAGTAGTATATCCTCAAGTATGTGCTTATTACGCCAATCAGGGAATTACCTGGAGGTCTATTACTGAATATGCATCCTGGAAGGGAGGTTATTATGAAAGGTTAGTCGGCATAGTGAAATCTGTCTTAGGAAAAACAATAGGACGCAAAATATTAAAATTTGGAGATTTAAGGACTCTTATGTATGAAACTGCAGCTATGGTGGATTCTAGACCGCTCACTTATTTTTATAATGAGAGCATATCAACTGTCATTCGTCTTATTAATTTCCTACAGTGTGCTGGCCCAACTGGCATTGCACCAGTGGGAGCCTTTGATGATCCATACTGAGTCCCTCCGCAAGAGCGGAAGGAACTGTCTAATTTGTACAAGGCGAGCATGGCCCTTACGGAAAACTATTGGCACCTTGTCAAAGACGAGTATCTGTTAAGCCTCAGGTAACGTCAAACAATGGTGCACAAAGGACAAAGACTGTCTGATCAAAGATCACCACAAGTTGGCGATATACTCCTCGTTAAGAAAATTGACCTGAGGCGAAGAGAATGGAAGATGGGCCGCATACAGCAGATCAAGGCGCCGCAAGGCTATCTAAAGGCTGCGACAGTCATTTTACCAAACCGTCAGTGATCTCTTGGCTTTATCCAGTGAAGTACGCTACTGTATAAAGAGTTCTGAAATTTTCTGGGCGTTCGTTTCTGTATGTTGAAATTGCGCTTTTGTTCTTTCGAGTCAAAGGGTTTTTAAATTTGAATTCAATATTATTTAGAACAGTTATTTTTCGAATTTTTGGTTTGCTTCATTTTAATTAATTTTTTTGCGAATTCATATTCATACAACAGTTGCGACGCGTTTTTCTTCAAATTAAATTTTTCTTTTTAATATTTCATTTTAAACTTTAACTTTCAGGCGTTAAATTTATTTATGATTTCCTTTTCTTGTTTAAGCTTGAAGACCACCCAGCGTTGTCTTTTATCATTTATTTTATCATTGAGTTTTCTTAAGTTTTTTTCCAAACGATTGAATCAAAATTATGTTAGTAGGTGAATCCCAGAGTTTTTTTTACAATGTCATCAACTACTTGCGCAAAAGATATTCAGCTGTCAAAACCAGCAGTCTATGTAGTGGCACGAGTCAAACGAGGATCTAACACGTTAGTACTTGACCTAGACAATGAGGTAAATGAATCGCTCTTGAAAGAGGCACCACTGCTTCCTCAAATGCCTTGAGGTGAGCTGTTAAATCCGATAGACCCAGTGCTAATTCGCTTTTATCAGTGGGAAACAGGCCGAATTACCACTATACGGACAGGTATCCATGAGATCTTTTTTGTACCACTGTACGGCAGAGAGATCTCGAAGTCATGTCACAACCAGAAACATCTATAGTTCCCGCCATCATTCAATACATTTAAATCAGGCCTTAAACGATCTTGATCTTCGCGAAGGGAATCATAGGCGAGGAGAGAACGTATAAAGAACGCGTGCATGTGAAAAGAACTTTATGTATGGGCCCCATTGTGGACGTCAAGAAGATTGCTCTTTTAGCAGAGAAATTAGACTACGACGCAGAACTCCAAAACATACTCTTCACTTATTACCTACCTCTACCCTTCAAAGGGCTTGAAGAAGGAGATCATGTTCCAGGCACGGATCGAGTGTCGGTAATTCACATTCCTGAATTCAACCAAACAAATTCCCCAGGCAATATAATTCAGAGGGTTCAAATGATTGAACAGCAGTATCAGTATCTAGAGCAAGTATCATCAGCAATTCTTTTGCGCTACTAAACCATACACCTCGCGCAACAAATCTACACTTCATGGCAATATCTAAAGTTCGCAATAGGCTCTGATATTATAGAAATCTTCGTTCAAACAATAATCTCTCCAGCATATACGGCAACGTCAAATATTCACTGAAAATTAGATGTTTAGGCACTCTAGCTGACAAATCAAAGAGAATAGTGAAATGTACAACCCAGCCAGAATTACTCGTTTACCGACTACACTAAAAGTTAGTGGCAATGATCGCTCGTTTAATTACCCAAGTTTGAGGTAACTCTCCGTTCCGGCTCAGACATGAACACCAGTGACTCACTGGCTTGGCAGCCACTCTGTGGCTTGGAAATAAATTTTGGAAAAGCTCTGCAATAGTGTAAAGCAATAAGCAGTAAAGTAGTTGAAGAGACGTGCAAGTGTTGTTGGTATAGCAAGTGATCAAGAAGTTATTGGTGATGCAGTTGTTTGTTTGTAAAACATTTAGCTCTACACAGCCTTGCACTATCTAAGATTTCCAATAATAGTTTTGA